AGCTCCTACCCCTGTGCGATGAACGTGTAAGTTCACGCGAAAAGTTGACCAATCGGAAAATGCAGGCTGTTACTAGCCTCAGATGCCACATTCGCAACGCCGCGTACCGTGTATATGAGTCATTGACGGTGCAGAGTAGCTTTCTTCGGCGTTCTCGTTTGTCTTCTACACGCAGTAAAGCCCATCATAAAAATGATTTTGCATTTTTGACCGATTTGGCACTAACTAGTAATTGCAATGACCTTAGTTTCTTCGACAGTAAAAATAAAGCGCGTACTAGCTGCTGACGTTACAGTGCCAATAGTCCTGAACGTCGGCTAAAAAATATGGTCAGGTATCATTAGTGGGCTACCTCTATTATGCATAATTATATTTTTACAAAAAATGACTGAGAAAACCCCTTAAAAGCATTACCAATTGACGATGGCATACAGCCATGCTTGCGCATATAGGAGGAATAAAGTTATCGACTTAAGAGCCTACTTCAACTCTCTGTTTAGGATCTACTTTGCAATTTCAGTAATGTCAATTATAGCTAGCAACATGCAAATGTGCAAACGACACTAGACATCCTATCTCACTAAATTTTAACCGAAATTCTGACAGGTGTTTTCGTTTCGCTTAAATTACTTAAGTAGGATTATAGTATTGAATATCGTACAGCCAAAACATTTCCGTCACTTCACGATGCAGACGTTTAAACGAGCTTCATTCTGATTGCCTGCAAGATTTATGCGCAGTAAAATGGCTACTTAAGGGGTATAACGTTTTCCGATGAGTTTCGATGCCTTTATAAATTCAAATACATTTTGTAGAAAACTGCATAAACATGTCCCTTCTTGTACTCATTTGATAACTATTTACGCCTTCTTCAAATTTTAAACTTGAAGAAAGTGCATCTCTCGGTCTAAAAAAGTTTCGAATATGAGATTTTTTAAGATCCTAAAATATTCATACGTAAATCTAGTAACGTTGCCTATAAAGCATATAGCATTACCCGCATCCATTGGAACTATTCATGAGAACTGTGCAACCACCTCTTCAAAGCGTTGTGTGATTTAACTGAGTGAAATGCAAACAGCAGGTACGCAGATTATTAACAACGAATGCAAGTTTAACAGTCAGAAGGGTTCAAAATGATTGCACGCTTTAAGTATATTTGAATTTATAAAGGCATCGGAAGTCCGTGCAAAGAAGTTATACAACTTAAAAAACAATTTTTCACAATTGGGTCAACTAAATTTTGCCGTATTATCGAATAGTCGAAATATGCGAGGTCCAGGTAATTGAATGGGAGATGAGAAAGCATTCTCTGCGACTAGTTGTTTATTTGCCCGACGTTTCGAACTCTCACGCGAGTCCACTGTCAACGAATGAAAACGTGTACATCTCACTGCATGTTTAGCTAAGCTCTGCCGGGAATGACCTTGAGCTCTGTCGAGCGTGACCTTGAGCATTGTGCAGGCGGCCAAAAAGGAGCTCGTTTAAAATCCGGCATCTTATCATTAAGTTAGCATAATCAATACCCTACAACCCTACTCAATTAATTTGTACGAAATGAAAACACCTCACAGAATTTCAGTTGATATTTCAAGACACAGAGGATCAGTTGAACTTTAGGCAACAGGTGTGCAATTTAATTTCGCATACGAACCTTGCCATTGCTAAATTGGACTTTTGCAGACAACTCGGCCAACGGCTTTCTGTACTTGGTCTTACATCCTACAGTAACCGGTTGCCGCAGGCGAGCCTTCAACTCGGCCAGGCCGTCAGCACAGCTGTGTAGACCATCTGGCAGACTCTTAAGGTAGGAGTAGCGTTCAATTCGCTCGAGGAATTTTTCCAGTTCAATTTTTGCCTCTTGCTCCGGTATCCCGTTTTCGATCTCTTTGACGAATGTGTTCACCGCAGACAGCTGAAATGCACGCAAGTGGGTGCACAAGTCAGGTCAGGAAGTGATTGGACGATTACACTCAAAAAATGACACAAGCTGGAGAGCTACAGTTCGCGCCAGAATTCGTGCAACATGCCGTCATATGCGAAAGATTGGTACTCTTTCGCTAATCGGCATTGACGAAGGTTGTGATACTGATTATCGTGTAGTCTATTCTGAATTTATTTCTGTCATGCGGGCTTTTTTAACGGGCTTCGTTCTGACCACTAACAAAACATATGTAGTGTAAAAAGTAACTACTTAAATAGTATACGTATTTATCCTTGATTGTGACTGCCTTTATAAATTCAACTATATTTTATGGTTAACTTACGCGACAAAATTATTTTTTGTACTTGTTTGCTATTAAATTACGCTTTCTTTATATTTTATACTTAAAGAATGGGTATCTTTCGGTTTAAAAAATTTCCTAATTGCCGCATAAAATTTGAAATTTACTGGCTGCCACCTTTGAATTCGAGGTTTGCAAACTGCGCACTGTGTATTTCCTGTTTGAGGAAAAGTACGTTTTCGTCTACAGTTTGTGAACGAAGTCATATTATTCTCATTTACTATTTCAATAGGTGTGGAACACGCTTTATACAGTATAAGCAGCATTAATAACTTGACGTATACGATTTATTATGAATGCACACCTCGCAATAGTAAAAAAGCTCACTATTAGACATTTTTTCAAACTGAGAGATATCCTTTCTTTAAGAAAGCGTAATTTGATATCAAACGAGTACAAGAAAAGATTTTTTTGTTTAAGGAGGCGCAATTTGTTATCAGATAAGTACGAGAAAGGACTTTTTCGTGTACTTTTCCATAAAATATATTTGAATTCATAAAGGCAGTCAAAATCAATGATAAACGCGCACACTGTATAAGTAGTTACTTTTTACAATAGATACGTTTTGTTAGTGGTCAGAACGAGGCTAGTTAAAGAGCCCGCATCCCATCATGACTGAAGTAACTTCAGAATAGTCTACACGATAATTACTATCACAATCTGGCATGTTGCACGAATTTTGGCGGATTCACAGGGTAAGAACGAACATTTTGCGCCTTAATGCCTACCA